GAGAGATCAAGCAATTGCAAGTTAACAGCCAAATGGGTGATATACGACCCAAGAATCAAGGGGCGCTTCTTTTTTGTCAAAACAGACTTAAATTGAGAAGCAAGCCAGCACCCCAAATTAACCTTAATATTATTATGCATGCACCATATGAAAAAGAATTTTGGCTTGGACAATATACCCGAGCTATCTCGCCTACCCGAGAAACTATACGCTAGGAAGCGCTGGATGTAGCGAGAAGCCGGGTCCTTGATGTAAGAGCTCTTGGACTGGCGAGGATCATAAGGGGCAGGGTCGACGGACAACGCCTCCCACATACTGCGATAACGAGAGAAGAAAGGCTCTATGTAGTCGCACGCACTCTCGGCATACTCCCGAGAGGCGGCATAGGCCGGATCAATGAAGCCAAAAGCTAAATTAAAATCAGTAATCGACTGGTGGAACTCCTGACCCATCAATCGAAAGTGAATGACATCGGGGGTAGACACAGAATAACCAGTAGTAATGGTGAACTCAAAAGTGGCATAGAACTCCCTAACCAACTCAACAAAAGCTGGGAGATCGACAATACAGGAATATGGGCGCCACCCAATGCCATTGATAAAATGGTGGAAGGGGTCGCTAATATTTAGAAGGCCCAAGGTGGCGGCGTCCAGATATCGGCAGGTAGTGATTTGCCGCTCACAACAAACAGCATATCGCTGCTTGTCGGCGGCCCTAGTGAAGTACAAATTTCCCCCAAAATGTGCAGGGTCAGAAATATGGACGCCCCTCTGTCTCCCAAGGCGAGCTCTCCTCCCAGAGGAGGAAGGTTCGTGCGAGGAGTCAGAGGCGGGAATAGTGGGTGGGGGTGGTGGAGGCTGTGATTGCCTAGGTGTCCTAGACTTAGAAGAAAATCGAGGCCGCACCATGGTGACCAACATGCAAACCAAAACAATAGAAAGCACAATACAGGAATCCAAGAGCTAGAAAATGACCCCAAGCAAGTCCAGTATACCCAACTGAGTAGCAATTATAAGCGTTACGGGCGCCCCCAATAAGCAGATATAGGCGTCACGGGTGCCCCCAAATGGAACCAGCAATCGCAGCAATTCACCCACGATTGGACACCAAATATATGAATCAGACACACGTGGACCGAAAACCGGCGTCACTGTCTCTAGATGGACAGTCAAGAACCCAAACAGGTTACTAAAAGCAGCAATTAACCCAAAGAGCTAGCAATTCGAGCAACAGCAGATCAGAATTTGAGCAACAACTCAATCACAAGCACTTGAACTTTCAAACAAGCAGGCATCTGACCAAATATAAGCAACAACTATGGTCGAAAGACCCCAACCAGTACCACTGGTTATCACACAAGGAAGAATTTAATCAGACGGCCAACCAAATCCACCAAGAAATCCAAACAATCACTAAATAGCCCCAGAATTCAGAAATTGACATTCTCGTATGTAAAAAAAAAATTCTTTTAAAAGTACCTCCCTTGTGCCCAACCGTAGACAGCGGGACAGTGGTGGGGCGCAACGGCGGGCTGAGGGAGAGGCGCGACGGTCTTCAATGGCGGCACGCGGCATTGTGCACTCGGGGTCGCGCGAGGTGAATGGTTGAGAATCGCGCGGCTGTCGCGCAAGGAGGAGGAGAGGCGCGCTAGGTGTAGCTGGTAGCAGGTGGCGGCGCGTTGCGTGTGAGCTGGTGGTGCTCGCGTGGTGGAGAGAGTAGCGCGCAGCGGCGGCTGTCCGTGGGCTGCGACTGCAATCGCGTGTGAGGGAAGTGCCGTCGTGGCTCGCGGCTTGCAGTGGTGGTGGAGAGAGCAGCGCGCAGCGGCGCACTCAAAAGGGGAGAGCCGCGATGGACGTGTGCAAGGGAAGCGGCGCACGAGGTGGGTGGCAGCAGGTGTTGGAGGAGTTGCAGCCGAAAGAAAAGAAGGAAAAGGAGAAGCAGGGGAAGAGGGGAAGAAAAGGGAAAGAAAGAAAAAGGTAATTTTTTTTTTTTTAAATTACTCCAACGTAAATCGTCCAAATTAGAGATTACTTAAAATTTTTTTTTCTTTTTGAATTCAAATTTCGAAAATTGTAATTGCTAAAATACTTTATTCCCTTTTTTTTAATTTTTTTTTTGAGTCGTCAAACATGGTGTGGGCACACCAAGATTAGAGAGCATCCACTGCCTTCGAGAGTTACCTTACGCACTTTAACGCGTGCCCCCCTCGCGTGGGCACGCCAAGATTCTATTTTCTGCCGGCGTCGCGAGATGTTGAGAATTTACCAACACGGTGCGGGCACGCCATGTTTTACAAACGTCCTCTGCCCATGGGACTTGGACTTAGACGCTTAACGCGTGCCCTCCTCGCGTGGGCACGCCAAGATTACCTATCCTGATCAGAGTTAGAAAACATCAGGAGTGACTAGTACCCACGTGAGAAACGACATAATTAAATAATTAACCACTAAAATCACAAAATTAACAATTGGGTTGCCTCCCAAAAGCGCCTTTCTTTAACGTCTCTGGCTAGACGTAGCCCAAAAATTTGCTTAAACTAAGCAAGCAGGGTCTTCCAAGTGCATCATCTCCACCTGTTCAATTGGAACCCCTTCATCATACGGCTTGAGACGATGACTATTCACTACAAATTTCTTCTCAATTTTCAAACTTTGAATCTCTACTGCACCATAATGAAAGACATTAGTCACAACAAAAGGACCAATCCAACGAGAACGTAATTTACCTGGAAATAACTTCAATTTGGAGTGATACAGTAGAACTTTTTGCCCACACTCGAATGTCTTCCTTGAAATCTGTCGGTCATGAAAAATCTTATTCTTCTCCTTATAGATTACCGCATTCTCATAGGCTTCATTGCAAATCTCCTCCAACTCCTGTAACTGTAACTTTCTTTGGATTCCGCCCTCCTCAATATCCATATTGCATTGCTTAACCGCCCAAAATGCTTTATGCTCGAACTCCACTGGAAGATGGCAAGGCTTACCAAATACCAACGTATAGGGAGACATCCCTATAGGTGTCTTGTAAGCGGTCCTGTAAGCCCACAAAGCATCTTCCAACCTTGAACTCCAGTCCTTCCTATCAGGGCGGACCATCTTTTTCAAAATAGACTTTATTTCCTTATTCGAGACTTCAGCCTGGCCATTGGTCTGTGGATGGTAGGAAGTGGAAACCTTATGAAGTACACCATGTTTCCTGAACAAAGCAGCAATTGTCTTGTTGCAAAAATGCATCCCCTTATCACTCACAACTGCCCGTGGCATTCCAAATCGCACAAAAATGTTAGATTTTATGAAACCTGCAACCACTTTAGAATCATTAGTGCGGGTGGCTTTTGCTTCCACCCATTTCGAGACATAATCCACTGCTAGTAAAATGTATAAAAATCCACAAGAATTTGGAAAGGGACCCATGAAATCTATACCCCAAGTATCAAAAATTTCAATGAAAAGCATGGGCACTTGTGGCAATTGATCCTTTCGGGATAAATTTCCTACCCTCTGACATTTATCACATGTCTTACAAAACAAGTAAGCATCCTTAAATAAGGTAGGCCAATAAAATTCACTTTCTAACACTTTTCTAGCAGTCCGTTTAGGTCCAAAATGACCCCCACATGCAAACGAGTGACAGAACGTCAATATAGATTGGAATTCACTTTCACTTACACATCGCCTCATTATTTGGTCATCACCTTGTTTCCAAAGATAGGGATCATCCCAGACATAGTACTTTGCATCGCTTTTTAGTTTGTCCCTTTTCGCCTTGGGCCAACCTGCGGGCAATTCGTCAGTAACCAAATAATTCACAATATCTGCAAACCAAGGAGGGGATGAATTCATAGAAAGTAAATGCTCTTCAAGAAAAGACTCCCTTAATGGTAATTCCTCCTCTGCTACCAGTATTCGACTTAGGTGGTCAGCTACCAGATTCTCTGTTCCTTTTTTATCTCTGATTTCCAAGTCAAATTCCTGCAGGAGCAAAATCCATCTTATCAGGCGGGGTTTAGCGTCCTTCTTGGTTAGCAGGTACCTCAAAACTGCATGGTCAGAATACACAATTACTTTAGCACCTAGCAAATAAGGTCTAAACTTTTCTAAAGCAAAAATAACAGCTAAGAGTTCTTTCTCCGTAGTAGAGTAATTGAGTTGGGCGCCATTTAAAGCTCTGGAGGCATAATATATTGCGTGCGCCGCTTTCTCCACCCTTTGTCCCAAGACTGCTCCCACGGAGTAGTCGTTGGCATCGCACATAATCTCGAATGAGAGATTCCAATCAGGGGTTTGGATGACAGGTGGAGAAGTGAGTAATTTTTTCAACTTCTCGAACGCTTCTTTGCACTCCTTGTTGAATTCAAAACTGACATCCTTTTGTAAAAGCCTGAAAAGTGGTGCCCCGATCTTCGAGAAATCCTTGATAAATCTGTGATAGAAACCTGCATGTTCTAGAAAAGAACGAACTTTCCATACAGTTACGGGGTAAGGTAAAGCAGATATCACATCTATTTTAGCTTTATCAACCTCAATTCCTCTAGACGACACTACATGTCCTAGGACTATTCCGTGCTCAACCATGAAGTGACATTTTTCCCAATTGAGCACTAGGTTAGTCTCAATGCATCTTTTTAAAATCAATGTCAGGTTATCTAAGCAATCGTCAAAACTATCACCATAAACACTGAAATCATCCATGAATACCTCAATTATTCTCTCCACATATTCAGAAAAAATGCTAATCATGCACCTCTGGAATGTTGCAGGGGCATTGCACAATCCAAAGGACATCCTTCGATAGGCAAAAGTGCCAAATGGGCAAGTGAAAGTTGTTTTCTCTTGATCCTCTGGCGCAATTGCTATCTGAAAATAACCAGAGAAACCATCTAAAAAATAATAATAGGCACGACAAGCTAACCTTTCAACCATTTGATCGATGAATGGAAGGGGAAAATGATCCTTCTTGGTCACCGCGTTCAATTTGCGGTAATCGATGCACTGGCGCTACCTCGTAGGCTTTCGAATTGGAACGAGATCCCCTTCATGATTTTCTTCCACAGTTACCCCCGCTTTCTTTGGCACCACTTGTACTGGACTCACCCATGGGCTATCTGAGATAGAAAAAATAATTCCGACGTCCAGGAGCTTGATTACCTCTTTCTTGACCACTTCCATCATGATGGGGTTCAATCTCCTTTGTGGTTGTCTTATCGGCCTAGCATCCTCTTCCAGGCAAATTCGATGCATGCACACAGACGGGCTTATACCCTTTATGTCCGCAATTGTCCAACTTATAGCTTCCTTATGCTCTCTTAGAACCCGTAGCAGCTTATCCTCCTCCCTGGGTGATAATTTGGATGAGATTATCACTGGTAACGTCTCTTTTTCACCTAGATAGGCATACTTTAAATGCTCGGGCAGAGGTTTTAACTCCACTTCAGGTGCCTGCACGATAGAAGGTAATAGCTTTAGGTGTGGTTCAGGCACGAATATAGGAGCGACATCATACCTTGGAGAACTTCGGCCTAGTGAATGCAAGGCTCCAACCATTCTTTGCAAACTGACATTTAACTCCATTTCATAAGTTGCTTCCAGATCCAAATGTTTGGTGATTGCTGTTTCCAATTCATCCCTGCCATTAATCTCAAATACTTCTTGCACCAAAGGGTCAATTACACTCACAGCGAAAATAGCATTAGAATGACAAGGATATCTCATGGCCTCAAATATATTAAAATGAACTATTTCTCCATCAAATTCCATCGTTAGGGTGCCCTCACTAACATCAATTTTTGTACGAGCAGTGCTCAAGAAGGGTCTCCCCAACAAAATTGGTGATGGATTTGGAGAATGTTCATCACTCATATCAAGAATATAAAAATCAGCAGGGAACACTAAATTGTTCACTTGCACTAACACATCTTCTATCACCCCATCGGGATAAGCATTAGTTCTATCAGCCAATTGAATTATAATGCCAGTTTCCTTTAAGGGACCCAAATTTAGCGAAGCATAAATAGCCTTGGGCATCACATTTATAGAGGCTCCTAGATCTAACATGGCATTTCTAATGCTAGTGTTCCCTATTTTACAAGGGATAGTGAACATACCTGGGTCTCCACACTTGGGTGGTAGTTTTCTTTGAAGCACCGCGGATACGTTTTCTCTTACAATTATCCTTTCATCTCCCCTCAATTTCTTCCTATTGATGCATAGGTCCTTCAAAAATTTGGCATACCAGGGTACTTGCTTAATTGCGTCAAGTAAGGGAATATTTATCTCCACCTTTCTAAACATCTCCAGAATCTCCTTTCCCTTGTCTTGCTTTTTAGGCCTTTCCAACCTGCTAGGAAAAGGTGGTGGGTTAGGCTTAACTGGAACCACTGGGGTACGTATTACCTCTTTATTTGTGTCGGGCGTTCCTTCTTCCTCAAGCTCCTTCTCAATGCGGTCCTCATTCTTGTCCTTCAGAGCCACTGGTGCTGGTCCTTCAACCTCTTTCCCACTCCTAAGGGTCATTGCACTTACATTCTTGGGATTCACCTCAGGTTGGGATGGAAGTTTTCCCTTTCCCTGGGAGTCCAGTCGGTTGACAATTGAGGCCAATTGACTCATCTGATTTTCCAAATTTTGCATACATGCCCTCATTTCTTGATTGCTGGCCTCAGTGTCCTGCTGAAATTTCATAGTGTTAGAGGCTATGGTTTTAACCATATCTTCTAAGGACATACCTGGGTTAGAGGAGGGTTGATTCTTTGGTTGATATTGTTGCTGGAAGCCCTGTTGTCTATTGAGGGTGAAATTTTGTTGCTTATTCCCCCCGTAGCTCAGATTTGGATGATCCCTCCAACCCGGATTGTATGAGTTGGAATAGGGGTCATACTGTCTATGTGGCATGGGCATGTTACCAGCCATGTTTGCTTGCTCAATTCCCTCCTCTTGTAACTGTGGGCACGAGTCAGTGGTATGACCAATGTTCGTACAAATCTCACACACTTTGGCCTACTGTACATTTCCTACAGCTATCTGTCGAACAAATGAGGTTAATTCAGATAACTGCTGTTGAATGGAATGTGAGCTTACCTCGTTGACCTTTCTCGTAGGAACATCCTCTCTTGTACCAAACTGCTGGCAGTTCTCCGTCATTCGCTCGATTAGTTCCCAAGCCTCTTGGGTAGTCTTATTCACCAGTGCGCCTCCACTTGCTGCATCAATGATATTTCTATCGTTCATCAGTAGCCCCTCGTAGAAGTACTGAATCAGCAGTTGATCACTTATTTGGTGTTGAGGGCATCGGCTGCGTAGCCTGGTGAACCTCTCCCAATATTCATACAAGGATTCCCCGTGAAATTGTTTGCTGCCACATATTTCCTTTCGCAAACTAGCAGCTCTGGATGCAGGGAAATATTTTTCAAAAATTTTTTTCTGCATCTCTGGCCACGTGGTGATAATGCCTGCAGGTAGACAGTATAACCAGTCCTTTGCCGAATCCTTGAGAGAAAAAGGGAAGGCCCTTAACTTAATTTGTTCATCAGTTACTCCCGAAAGCTTCATACTCGAACACACCACATCAAATTCCTGCATGTGTTTGTGGGGTTCCTCACCTGACAGACCATGAAAAGTAGGCAACAAATATATTAGACCAGGTTTTAATTCAAAAGCTGCATTCTCACTAAGGCGAGGGAAGGTTATGCAGAGAGGTTGTTGGGTCAAGTTTGGAGCAGCCAACTCCCGTATCGTTCGTGCATTTGCCATGGTGACTTCCTCCTGGTCCGAATCACTCGAGTGATCACTATGCAGATTTAACGATTCCCTCTCCGGATCCAGTCCTTGAGGTGCACCACTGGGTTGCTCCTCCCTGAGCTGTCTAGTCTCTTTCCTAGTTCGGCGTGCAATCTTCTCTACTTCAGGGTCAAAATTAAGTCGCCTGTACGAGAAGAACGAGGCATAAACTAGAAAAATACCAGAAATAGAGAAAGGAAGCAAGCAAAAACAAATTAGATTTAAAAAGGAACAAATAAATAACGCCAGTCCCCGGCAACGGCGCCAAAAATTGACAGGTGCCGAACCTGTGCAATAATAAATACCTGCTCAAGCAAAATATAACTTCTGTAGACAGTGAAAAGTAGGGTCGAATCCACAAGGATTAGGAATATTTGTTTCTTTTAAAATTCCAATTGGAATAAGGGGGATTTTATCAGAGTTAAACTAAAAACAATTAAATAATTCACTGGAACAAATGATTAACTAGCACGAATACGAAAAGGAATTAAATCAAGAATTTATAAAAATTCTAGCCAAGGATACAACTACTCAAGCACAGTCCAATTATCCGATCATTGATGCAAGAGAGGCTTACTCAATGTATTGATAGGCTAGTTATAGTCGTTGACGAAGTCTGACAACCAATTTTTCCTTAATTTATTGATAACCAAGGTACGACCGTTGATTACCCCTAATCAGAAAATACTCCTAGGTACGATCATAGGAATTAATCTCCCAATTGCATTAACAACTAGAAAAACCTAACCCTAATCAATAACACGCTACGAGGGTTATTTAAATTAGATTGCACGCTCCCCTGATGTGTAAACACACCAGTTGCCACTAAAATTAATCAATCAAACAATTACGGATTTAATTGACTAAATTGGCACGAGATTAATAAATCACATTGAACATCGGACCCTTGACATCCAATTAATAAATAAATCCCATGAGAACTCAAGCAGATAGCATGCAAATATAAATAAATTGAGGAACACGTGTAAACTAATTAGATCTCACAGAATTTCGGAACTGCGCCGTCGAGTTGACCTTGACTAGATTGAAGGTTTAGCCACGCCGCATAATTAAATCACCACACGAATTAAATGATTGCAACGGCATTGCCTTTTTACTAGAAAGCAAGGAATAAAAGATGTTTCCCCGTTGGGGAATATTGTCAAACACTTGGCGTGTGTCAGAGGCCAGTCAGAGAGAAAAAGAAAGAAAACTAAAAAAAACTGAACTAAAAGCTGAAACTAAAAGCTGTCCCCTTCTTCTGTACGTTGTCCCCTTTTAAAGAACCAAAAGAGAGATGACTAAAAGCTATCTAGGTGGTCCCCACACATGTGGACAAAGTCTCCAAATTGTTTCTTGTTCCAAGTGTCTCTACGTTGCTTTCTTTGAGGAGCCCCAAATGACTAAATATCTTTCACTAGCTTTGTGGTCCCCCACCAATTCAAGGGCCCAAGGGTTGAAGCCCTTAGAAGTCTCCATTTTCTCTATAAAGTCCCTCCTTTTTGGTAGTTTTCTGTTTCATTCCTAAAATTAAGTCCAGATACCAAATATAAGTAGATATCACTGATTAACATAATAAATAGCAGGGATAAAAGGGGAAATTAATAATAAAATTACTATCAAATACTGCCCTATCACTCCCTGTTAATGTCTTTGGCCGACAATCAAAAATGTCAATTAATTGGTGGTCAGGTATCAGATGTTGGTACTAAACTGCTAAATTCCCAGTTCTTCACTGCTAAATTCCACCAACGGCCTCAGTAAAAGTCTTTTTCTTTTGGTATTATCTAAAACTGGATTAAAACAAAAGAAAAAAAAAGTCCTCGGTCTTTCAGTTGGACAGCCTATCATATGGTCCCTTCTGTCACTTAATTCAGTAATTGATAACCATGTCATTGTGGAGTTGTATTATAATTTGATATTGAAGCATGTAGAATGTTTCCCTTGCTTCAAGTACTTCCATTTGGCGAATTGGGATGAATTTTTGACACGTTTGGTTACTTGGTGAAGTGAAGTGAGAATTTGACAGAAGCTTCCAAAACATGTTTTTCAGTTGTTGAACAAATCTTCTTGTTTGTCTTGTCAGGTTAATATAACAGGTTAACATAGATATAATAACCATGACTCTTTCAATAATAATCTCATACTACCATTTATCATAGTTGCCAGTCTTTCAATCTTTAGCTGTTATAGGTAATCACTTAATCCTATAATTAGAAAACTTTATTAACCAAAGTGCAGTGACACAAAGATTCTATGATGAAACAGAATTTGATTTTCTGTACAGCAAGGTTCTTTTCTTTCTTTAGCCAAAGCTTTTTCTGCTTCTGTCTATAAGACAAAATGTTTATACATATCTGGTTTCTGTCCTTTTGGTTTATATTCTTCAAATCATCTTTTCTACAATCCACCATTAGTGTATTTCACAGAAGCTCAAATGCTACTCCACTTATTAAATAAAATAAGTCCCTTGCTAGGCTCTTGCTACTAAATCATTCCGTGACCTCCTGTTTCTGAAAGGTCAACAACCAAATCTATTGTTGACTAATTAGAGCTCATTAAATTATGCACAACCTACAATTGGAAAACTATTATGTCTACATATTAAATCTGCTGTCTACTACCAAATATGTACAAGGAGTCTGAATACTAGAGAAGCAACCAAAAGCTGCCAGGTGTAACCAAGAATGTTAGAATATAAATTTTATCCTAGGGTAGAATTACTTCAGAATTACTTCAGAATCTTTGCAGTGCCAAATCTAGAGTAGAATTACTTCAGAATCTGGATTTCCATCTTTGCAGTGCCAAATCACTAACAGGGCAAATTAGGATATATATATATATATATTATTTATTTATTTATTTATTGAATCGGGGTTGAACCGGTCCGACCGGTTGAACCTCGACCCTTTCACTTCACCGGTTTACTTGACGGTCCGGGTTTTAAAACATTGCCCATCACAGTTTCTAGTTTAAGTTTATACCAAAGTATTATTTTAAACAATGACCCTATGATTCTTGCTCTGATACTATGATAAAGAAGACAACACATAGTGAAAAAATAATTGACAGACTCAGTTAGGAAGCCATCTTTGCTATATATAAGTGATAAAAGCCAACTTTGCTCAAGACATGTTGTCTATTTTTTTTAAGAAAAAAAAAATCTATAGTGCAACAACAACTTGCATTTTTCTTTCAAGCACTTCCTTAAATCCTCAAGTGTGAAGAAGCTAATTTACAACACTAGTGGAGAAAGATACCTTCCTGGTAAACGAGTCATGCAACAAACACTACAATGTGGTGCTGATGATGCACTCAATATTCCCAACCAGAATTGGCCTATTTCTTCCCCTATCTGGGGTATGGTTCAGTAATTGATGCCTCATTTACAGAGCTTGGAATTGAAATTCTTTCGGTATTAGATTGCTCAACTTCCAGCTCTTCCACAATGCTTTCCGATCCATGGCTCCGGAAAACTGCTGGACGATGTGGAGTTGGTAGGGTAATAGAGCTACTATTGAGCATATTGACCACGGAAACCATTGTAGGCCTTTTACTGACATATTCTTCAACACATAGTAAGCCTAATTGGACACATTGAATGACTTCATTTTTGGCAAAAGAATCTCCAATACTTGAATCCAGAAGAGCTAAAGGTTCGCCACGTCTCCAATGCTTCCAAACCTTTTTGAAATAATTCAACTTTTAAGGAGTTCACACATAAAATCTTCAATTTGTTCAAATCCTTGACTGCAATTGTGCAAAACCACAGAAAAATAATAAAAACAGTAGTAGAGGTTTTGCAATTCGCACTTACATAGCTTACGAGGTCTTCAGAATCTTCAGATTTTTGGAAACTACTATTCTTCTTGCCTGTAACAATTTCTAAAATAACAACCCCAAAACTGAATACATCTGACTTTATCGAAAACTGGCCCCGTCTCATATATTCAGGAGCCATGTAACCGCTGCAAGCCACAATGATTGTTATAAACAGTACTAAGATAACCCCAATGAGGCAATGAAATGGAAGTGTAGATAATTTTCAATAAAGATTCAAAGTCATATTATGTGAGAAAAGATAGTATGGGCACAAAACTTACAATGTCCCAGCAATTCTATTTGTGTTTCCTTCAGATTGATCAACTCCACAAATCTTTGCCATGCCAAAATCTGCGATCTTTGGGCTCATATTTCCATCCAATAATATATTGCTTGCTTTGAGATCGCGATGAACAATTCTTAGACGAGAATCCTCATGCAGATAAAGAAGTCCTTTTGCTATACCTCCAATGATATTGTAACGCCTTGACCAGTTCAATGATCGTTTATTTTCTGGATCTACACAAATTTAAACACAATATATTGTGCTAGCATTGAGAATTATTAAATCAATAATTCCAGAAAGCATAATCAAATAGGTAAATTACATCTTTAGCTTTTAAAATATAAATGCACTCTCAGTTTAGTTCTTAAATTTTTATTGTGGACACTTCACCCTAAAGGTTTTTAATTGTCCCACTTCAGTATAATTATTAATGAAATCATTAAAACAAATGGAATATTCCATCCCACTTTGATCATTACTTGCCATTATCCCATTAGTTTTGACAATTGAGAGAGTGATTGTGATGATATGTGACAAATGTGATGCATTAGGAGGGGAAGTATCCAAAATTAAAGTTTAAGAACTAAAGTTTGAGTGCGTCTGTGGTTTAAGGGTCTAAACTAGAATTCACACCAATTAAACATTTGTCTAGAGGCAATTTGTCCGTCATTTTCCATAAAATGGCAAGTCAAGTAAAATAGAACAAGATCACATGGAACAACAAAAAATTACTATAAGTATGTCTAGATTGAACCCACCGAAGAGAAAGTAGTCAAGGCTTTTGTTAGGAACAAATTCATAGATGAGTATCTTTTCTTCTCCTTCCAGGCAAAATCCCAATAGCTGAACTAGATTTCTGTGTTGAAGCTTTGCAACTACTACAATTTCATTTTTAAATTCTTCTGCGCCTTGCCCTGAGCTCCTTGACAGCCTTTTAACAGCTATTTCTTGCCCATTACCAAGTACACCCTGAGAAGACATGCATACTAGAATTTAATTGAAATATTAAATGTGTAGATATTCATATTCACAAAAGCAAAATATTTCATGCAAAGACCTTGTATACACGACCAAATCCACCTTCGCCAATTTTGTTATCCACAGAGAAGTTATTTGTGGCAATTTGAATTTCAGTTAAGCTATACTGTAAAGATTCGGCAGTGAAGATATCCGCAACACCATCTACACCAGAAATAAGCAAATACACTCAATTTATTTGTTCAAACAAATCTGAAGTGTTTGTAATATTAATCAATCAACTTTACCACTTGTTTCCAGTGCCATAGCAACATAACTCTTCCGCAATCTTCTTTTCAGGAAAACAAAAGCCATGATAAATAGCACAACAGCAACCCCAATTAATGGGACAGCAATTGGAAAAACTGCTCGTGGGGGTCTTCGTCCTTTGCCTGGATTAAAGGAAGTTTAATTTACTTCAAAAGTCAGCTCATAGGAGATAGACGGATAGCTATGCAAGAACACATTATTTGAAAAAATATTCTTTCAGTATCTTTAAAAGTTTTTCACTGCCTTTTCGTCTCACATACTCCATGTTGACGGTAAATAAAAAAATTTTCGACAATCAATTTTCAATCCTAGCATAATAATTGTTCTAGTTATGGATTAATAGAATTAAACTCCCCTGTGGCTTCAGTAATTTACAAACTTAGCTCTGTGCTTGATCCAAAGTACAACTACGCTTGTAAATGAGGCTGTCCAGACCCTACCGTTGGATATAATCAAATGACAACAATGCCTTACTTTAAAAAGACTTGGAAAATAAAAATTAAAACAAATGGGATAGCATTTTTAGGCACAACAATTGCTAGCAAAAAAAGCCGAAGATAATTAATTACTAAATTTAGAAAAGCTGGGTGGCAAATTAGCAAATAGGTGTTTCCCCCAGAAGAACAAGAAAGTACGTATCAGAATAGAACGAGATAAAAGACAAAGAAGTGGAGAAGAAACATTAAATATAAAGTAAAGGAAGATGCACCAATACTAAGAAGAAAGAATACAAGATAGCCAAACCGACGGTGTGGAAAGGTAAAATAAAATGAAAGAAGAAAGCACCCTCTTCGTCTCAAACCTTATTTACTCCAATTCAGATGTGAGGACTCGTAAAAACTATTATTTTTAAACCTAATTTATGGCTTAATAAATTATCTAATTGGATTTTTACCACGAGAAATATTTTCTAGTCTCATTAGACCTAAATACATGACAATATAATTTCGTCATATTTTTAAAGTGTCTCGTTTCAAAAATTATTTTTCTTAGGAGCTTGTTTAGGGAAAAGGTGAAAATACGTTTGGAGAATTTTTGCCAATTAGGAGTACAATTAGCCCGGAAATTTTGGGACATGTACAACGGCTTTAAAATAGGTAATTTTAGATTTAAGTACTTAAGTGATAGTTAATAAAATTATCGATACAAGAATTTCTTGGAGGTTTTGCGTAACAGCGTTAAAATTGTCGGTACACGTTTTCATACGCGCGGCTTTATTTGAGGGACTTTAGACCCTTATTTCGAGACAATTAAGAGTGAATAATATTTATATGAACATACGTACATTAGAGGTTTAGTGCACTAGTGAACCAAACGCGAGAGAAATCGAGCCCTAAACGCACCAAACGAGCCCTAATGAGGGTTGACTTTGGAGTGAATTGACACCACTCATTTTAATCTTCTCTTGGAAGCTAATCTTGATCAAATTTCACTCTTTCTTCTCTCACCAACAGCCGGCCAGCCTTCCCTCTCTCTCACTCCCTTGCTTCACAAATTTCTTCATCAAATTAACCACAAAACTTCAATCAATCTTCACCAAACTTGAAAACCATCTAGCAAACTACTTGGAGGTTGGATCTAGCTAACTAAAGGGCTGCATTTCACGGTTTCTTGGAGCCTCTTGAGGACCGAAAATTTCTGGTTTAAAGCACTAAGGAGGTATAACCTCATCCTACACCTTAAACTTGGATTATGATGGTAGAAATACATCTTTAAGCTATTGCATGTGTATGGATGGCTTGATATTGTTGGAAAATTTGCAAAGTGGGCTCTATGAATTCCCACACTTGGGTTGTTGCTGATTAGAGGATTAATGTTGGATTTAATGGTAGTTTAGTGGTTAAAATGATGGATTTATGGAGTATTATTGTTGGAAACTCAAAGTTGAGGTCATGACAAGAAATTTCCGAAACTGCCCCTGTTTTGTTCGGCCATGATAAGGCCAATTTTTGGTGATTTATTGGCGTGAACCTGATTTTTATATGTTATGTTATATGTGTAAAAATTTTCATTGGAAAACATTAACGTTTAGATGGGCAAATGAATTTATTCGTGAACTAGGCAAGCTGGAAAATTATTTTCGGATAACCCTGTCCAGCGGTAGCATTTTCACCATAACTTTGTCCTCCGACGTCAAAATTGAGTGCCATCAGTGACATTCGAAACTAGACATCCATACCTTTCCAACGGTATAAAATGAGTATTCTGATTCCATGTGTAGGAGCCGAACCATTCGTTTTAATATAGCTGTCCTGTCTCTCGGATCTGCTGGAATGGTTTGTAGAGGCAGCAACTTGAGGCTCAATTTCGAGCTGGTTTCTTGCCAAATTTCAGAACGTTTCCTTCTGTGAACTTTTAGTCCTATGAATTTATTTTCCAACACCATAAACCATGATCAATTCCGAGCTAAATTGACTGAGTTGTGACCAAAACAAGAGGATTGCCCTGTTTTGGAAAAACGTAATATTTGGACTGATTTGGGACAAAACCCGGGAGTGATCTTATTAATTGAAATTTTTGATGCTAAACCATTACCAAAGGTATCATGGATGTATCTTAGACCTTTATTTCACAAATGAACCATGGTTGGATAGCTTTCTTGGTTAAACGATTTGAATTGGGAAATGAAAGTCAAAAGGCAGATTGCCTTAGAAATTTTCCGGAACTTTGGATGATTAGTTATCTACCTTCCCGAGGGTATTTTTCCATGAAATTTGATAGAGAGATACCTTTCATATAGGAGTAAAATACTGCCAATTTTGGTACCAATCCAAGTTCGTTTCGATACCTAATTAAATTTCTAGTGTTGGAGGTTCAAATCTGGAAATTCTTCTCCAATCTTGAATTCCCCCAACTTTGAGCTACCGTATCTCGGTACTCGAAACTCCGATTCTTGATCCGCTTACTTTTGCTATAAACCTCACTTGCAACTCTAATTGAGTTACAAATTTCAGAGGCCGGTTTGCAACGTGTGAATCGTGCCGAATTTTCAAAGTTGGCCGAAATCCAACTTAATTCTGCCTTGTAAACCGAGTCTGTACCTTCAAGCTCATTTTTGAGCACTTTCCACTTCGATTCATGGAAAAGTGTCTTCTAGGAACTTATAGTACTTTCTAAGAGGTTTCCAACGGTATAAAGTTTTCTAATTCTCGACTTGTACCGAGTGAGTTACGATTTTTCAAAGATTCATAATAAAACTGAAATTTTCCAATTTCAAGGAAATAGAGTTTTTCAAGAACTCTTTATTCTTTTGATATTATCTAAACGTTTTATCCCCGATTTCCTAGATAAAGACTTAAATACTTTTGAACATTATCAAACCCCACTCGAACCTCGATTTACGAGTAATTGAGGTTCATTTTCACGGAATTCCCTCGATTAATGCTAGCGAACGAATTATTCCTCGATATTTGGGATGTGAATGATGAATTCACTATTATTTGCTCAGGCACACACGAGAACCTTCAAGAGGATTCCCCGGTGGACGCTTGAACTTCCCTTGACCTTACTCACACCTAATATTTGATGAGTGTCAGGTGTATGTAAACTTGTTACATGCTTAATTGTTATTAATGATTGGAAATCTTGAAAGTGGAGTCGAGTGTGTACTTTACCACACTCGTTCTCATTAGAAATGAAATTTTAATGATTGAAATGCATTGAATGAATGAAATGTATTGGTATGCTAGCTGCATACGTCGTTGAAGTGAATCTCCTCGACACACAAGTGCACATGGGGGACGCCCAAATCTCATTGGCCGACCTTGGACTCGAGCCGGCATGGGTTTGGTTGGGAACCTTGGCGAACCATGAGATATATAAGCTTGAGCTAATGAGAGGTCTTGCTTGGCATACTCGAATAGTATCGCCACAAACTAATGACAGGCGGGCCCGATACAGGGGTATGTAAGGTGAAAGGGGACAGGTTAAGTGGAGTTCTACGGACTAAACCTACCCGATTGACGGAGTATCAATTCGTGGAGGTTATTGCTCGTGCAAGTGGAACTCAGCTCCTGAGAGCTACTATATCCTTGAATTGTTTCTGTTTACTTTTCCCGCTCGAATTGTTAATTATTGCAATATTATTGCTTGACTTGTAAATTGAGATTGTTATTTGAGCAATATGCTTGCATGTGTGTTCTTGGCCTCACGAGCGTTTTGCTCACCCTGTAGATTTGTTTTCCTTAACAGGACTGGATCCGGGGACGTATTGGAGAAACCCTCTTGATGTACTTTTGTTTAGGGTTTCTATCATCATTTTGTCTATGCCTCTTGGTTTTGGGTTGTACTTTTGTATTTGGAATGTAGCATTTGGGCATGAGATGAATTTGGGTTTAAAGTTGTATTTTGAACAACCGATGTACGGGTTGGATAATAGATGACCATGGTTAACTTGAACGCTTCCGCATCACTGTGTTTATGTTTTTGTACGTACTATTAGATTAGTTATAAGCTTGAATGTTTTGTGTGAGTCCTGGCGAGAGCTGGGCAGGCGTCCCGCAGATACCCTTTGGTTCGCCTTAGGGAGAAGTGGGGGCGTCACAGTTGGTATCAGAGCGCTAGGTTAGCGCTAGGTTAGAGATCTATATGTGAGACATATTGGATACTCTACCCTTAGAACCTGAGACCGGATAGTTAAGTTATACTTTAAAGGGTATTTGGGACATACTAGTGATCGGGTTAGGCATGCATAAACGACGTTTGAACTAGATAGTGATTTAAATTTCTAACCCGAAAAGTGCTATTATTTTGCAGGGATGGAAAATGGAAATGGAGTTCCGGCAGCTAACGGGGATGGCCATGCGAATGGTCATGTAGTGCCTCCTAGGCCTATCTATTACCGAGCTTTAGCTGGGGGAGCTCGTGTACGCTACTCGCCTGATCCTCGATACCCCCGATGTGCTTGTAGGGTGACTTTTGCTTACCCAAATCATGTTGTACTGGCCTTGGACGACGAGCGTCGTCAGTTGGTGACTGCCAACTTGGACTTACAGGCTGAGGTGGACGAGCTACGACAGATGGTGAGTGCTCAGGGCGAGAGGGTCGCCGAGCTTGAGGAGGTGATTGAGGGCGAGGTTGCCACATCTGCTGTGGTTAA